TTCTAACAGAAGATGTTTTGCTTGCCTTTGAAACCAAGCGTTGTTGCTTTATTCTGCATTTTGGGGTACAGCCTTTCCAACAGGTGGGTTCTGTGATGGTCTGAAGCACTGAACAAACACGTCAGCTGTTCCATAGATATGAACATCTAGCATTAGCAAACATGAAAAGAGAGTGCAAACACCAATTTATTTGGAGCTTTCCAATGTGTGTTTTGGGATTCAGCAGTCTGAGGAAGGGAATACAGTTAATTTCTGCCTGTAGAGTTTGGGTCAGTATACAGTTTTGACTCTTTGGGGGGGGTGGGCAGCTGCTGTACAACAGGCACCCATGCTAATTCTCCACCTCTGCCTGCCCGTGACTTTGACTGCAGACGCATGGGCACTCCCCGGCGTAAGCACTGCAAGTGAAGTGTTTGTCTGAGAAGCACTGACGGCTCGAATTCCCAGACTCGTTATTCCTGAGAATCAACTTCGTCTAATGTTTGCAATCATTTTTATCTCTGCTTGTTTAAACGCGAAAGCTGCTTGGTCCCTTAAATAAAGCAAGCACCATGCAAAATGTTGTAGAGTATCAGTGGCTGAAAACTACTTTTAATTAATCTTCCCATTAAATAGTATAAGAAGGGAGAATATATCTAATGGTTTTTTCATGCTAATTGTCAGTATTATGTTTGGGCATCTATTTGAAGTATTGGGAAAAGTGGGGCTGTAAAAATGTCCTGTCCTAACTTGCTTCATTGGAAATTCAGCCTGGGAGAAGACTAGATGCCTGAGGCACTGAGCAGTATTTGGTGTGTGCTGTATTTGGGCACCTTGGTCTGTAACGTGATCTGTACCATTTTCTTTCTGCTCAGAACACTGGTTAAATTACAGAGGGATCCTCAGGACAAATGAGAACGTTGCATCAATTCTGTATTACTTTTTAATAAAATAGGAACTACATCCTCATTCCAGTGTTTCCCAAGTTCATTCCTTGATTTAAACTTTTTCCTTTCCAGTAAGGAGATGGATGGTAGGGACACAGGATGGTGATGGGAGCTGGCACAGTGGGGAAAAACGGTGCTGGAGCGGTGAGGTCACGGTCTTTCCTTCCCCACTGAGCTGTGTGTATCATTGATACAGTGAGTGCTGCTGTACTGTCTGACTACAGCTCTTTAGGAGACGATTAGCTGAGTGTACTCAGCCTGTGCTACACTGAGAGGAATCAATTTATCTTCTTCCCTGCGTCTTTTATCTCACCTCACTGCTTTCAGTGTTAAAAATCCACCTAGCAGAATACAGTAGGTAGGAGAAAGTGAGGAACGTTATCAGTCAGTGAAAACTAGAATCTTAGGCTGTTGCATGAAAATGTTGCCCCTGCGCAGTCAGCAAACAATAGTGGGAATTCTTGGAGAAGATTAAACCAAAAAGCCATCTCTTTACTGCTCAGGAAGTCCGCGACACATTTGCAATGGTGAAGTTGTTCTGTTTCTGCCCATCTTGAGGTATTTAGCAATGGTGGTGGTGGGAATAAGGGGTAGGGAGCAGTTTCTTTGATCTTCGCTCTTGCATACTGTAGGAGACAGATCGGGATAGTGTGCCTGGTGCTTGCTTCCATGCCTATATGCTGAAAAGGCAAAACAGCTGCGGAAACTCTGCCTTGATTAGGAAGTCGTTAAATTCTTTTGCCTTTTCCACTTTCTTGAACTTACTACACAGAGAAAATTACGGAGGGGATAGTTGTGTGACTGAGAAGGCAAAACAGCTGCAGAAACTCTGCCTTGATTAGGAAGTGGTTAAATTCTTTTGCTTTTTCTACTTTCTTGAACTTACTACACAGACAAAATTACGGAGGGGATAGTTGTGTGAAAGACACTGATTATTTGTTCTTGCAGCAATTAAAATATCCAACAAATCTACAGTTTCTTGTGCTCTCTCGCTCTATTATAATGCAGTGGGTTTGCTGTCATGGTTTTCCTGTACCTTACATGTGCTGTCCAGCAGTGTGCCAGGGGTGGGATTTGGGGAAAACTTCCAATTAGAGGCTCTGCACTTAGGAGACAGTATGAATATAAGCTGAACAGGTAGAAATTGCAGTACAGAGGTATCACATCAATTAAGTCTGAACTGAGCTGAAACCTCATCTCAAATTCCCAGCTTGTACAAGCAAATAATGCTATTAAACATTTATAAAGAGCTATCTATATATAACCACAAAGAAAGCATAGGCAGTTGTAGTTGAAATAATAGTGTGTTACATTTATATTTTACTCGATGTGTGCAAAGTCTTTGGCAAAGCACATCCCTCACTGCTTTTTCCAGCTGTTTCTTCATTGTATTGGTCTGTGAAGATTCTTTCCTCAGTCTCATTCCACAAAAGGGTTCTGGGGCTAACAGCTGTCTTGTACACAAGGTACTGAAAATGTGCTGAGTAAGGAAATGAACAGTGTGTATCCCAAGTTGTTTCACTTTCTCTTGCCCTCCTTCTCAGAGGAAATTTTGTTTGAAGGCTGTATGTTACTGTCTTTAAAAAAACCACATTAATAACTTGCCTGTTTTGCAAGGAATCTTCTGCTGAATGAACATAACATCCATTTAAACTGTCTATTTGAGAGTTACATGACTTAGTAATGAAGTTTGTCAACAGCCAATTGCCTGCTTTGATGGAAAACACTTAGTTGGGAACTGTTTACATCCTTCTGCATTTCCTTGGAGATTTTCTTGGAGCGAGAAAGCACTGTTATAATCCTGAAGCAGAATCCATCTGTTTCTTGCCATTGAGGAACCTGAATTTCAAGTTGCCTTCAAGAGAAGACCCTTTGTCAGAACCGAACAATTTGTGCTTGATGTACCCAAGATCCAGAGACTGCCCTCCCTTGTCTTGTGAATAGGGTACTGTGATGGAGAGACATGCAAATTGCCTTGTTTCGGAGCACGCTCTTGGATCTCTTACCCAGCACGTTTTATTTGGCTTCAGCTGTACCATGCTTTTTGAAGGTTACCAGCGTGTTTAGTTGTTCAGTTCTTTTTCAAGAGAAGAATGACCCTCCAAGAACTGAATTTCTAGAAGGAGTAATTCTGCTCCAGTCTCAACACAGACTTTGTGGTCTGATGTAGGCTCCTGAACGACTGTCCAAAGTGATCCCAGGAGTTGTCCTGTCCAAGACATCCTTTCAGACTTGTCCTGGAAAAAATGAGGGCGATGCATCCTAAATTCATTATCCGTGTCTCCTTTGAGTGCATACTTTTCTTGAGGCAGATTTCCTCTGTCGGTTCACAGGAGCATCTATTTCTGATGCAGAAAGGTTTGAAGTGGCCACCACCGTGTAACTGCTGTTGGTGGCTTCCCCCGGTGATCAGGAAACTCTTCAAGAGTAGATGTGATGCTTGGGTACGCCTGTGTTTTCTTTCAAAGTCAAGGTTGAGTTCTTAGTTGTGAATTCCAGGGTGATTTGGGGTTTTTTAAAAAGATCTTTAAATGTGTCTATTGTTTTGCATATCATGAGGAAGAGTCCTGAAAACTTGAACACATAACACTTCCCAACTGTTGAGATGCAGTTGAGAAGAGCTCGAGACACAGCAATGGCAGATGGGTGAATTGGTCATATGCTTTGAGAGTTGAAGGCTTTAATTTCCTTTTTGCTCTTTTTATTTCTGCTTGAGGAACATGTAACTTCAAGAGGAAGGTCAAATATTACACATTTCTACTGTTTTCCCACTTATGTGGAGGTGCCATTAGAAAAATAGAGAAAGTCAGTGTTAAGGTGTGCAGTGTTGAGAAGGAGAAGGTACTGGAGAAGGTGGGGATGCTATTATGTTTGACTACATGAGGTGGGGAGCTTAAAGGAGGGAGCTCTGGGTAAATCTTGATAGAAAACATCTTTATTAAGGGAAGCAAGCCTTCTGTGTACCTAGCCAAGAGCCGAGAGTGACATCTTAATGTGCTGACTTTCAGAAAGTACTGTGTGCCAGCAAAGTAGATGTAACATCAAAGAAATGTTCCCCTGCATACGTGGGACGTTTTATCCCCAAACACCTCCTGTTAAGCCTCCAGGGATGCGGAACGATGGCTGTTTTGGCAAGCAAGTGACAGAGGTCGTAGGTACCACACATCAATGCTGAGATGTGTTGCTGGAGTACAAGCAGCTGGAAACACTTCTTCCAAATCACAGAGCGATTATTTTCTCTCCCATCTCCCCTACTTCCCAGCAGCACTTGTATGTTCAGAGTTTTGAAAAAGAATTACCAGTGGGGAAGTTCTCCTCTAAATCCAGAAAATGCGTTTTATCTTCCTTATCACCAACTATTAAGAGCTTAATATTTGAGGATGTTTGAGGTGTCCCCGTGCCGTCTACCAACTCAACTCTTGCATTGTGGACCTTGGAATATCGCCCCTGTTCCTGAATGTCTTCTGTTATTCCCTCTTCATAAATGTTCACTCTTCAGAAGAATGACCACAAGCACTTGCTCTGATACGTCATGTATTGTAAAACCCTTTGAAGCTCAGTGAGTAGAATGAAAGATGTCAAATAAAGGATAAAAAGGGTAAATAAAGGACAGATGCTTGCACCAGCTCAACTACATGGTGCTTAGTGTTTTAATCCCTTGGCCTCTATGGGATAGACAAGTTGGTAATATCTCCCTTTCATAGATGGGGAAAATATGATGAGTTAAATAAGTACATCCTATTAAGATGTATATATATAAATAACCCAAAGACAAGAAGGTTTCGTTTAGGCCAAACTACTCGAAGTTAAATGTTCAGGGTTTCTTCTGTGGATGAGGATGTTCATAATTGCATCAGACAACATTAAGAATTTATAGTGTAAATATGCTTGAGGCACAAATCAATTAATAGCTGGCAAAGGACCTAGCAAAGCACTTTCTCTGTGAAGCGTTTGTTCTGAAATTGTGCATGACTACATGCCAGGCGCCTTTCTTTCCTACCCTCGGGTATCAGTCACTGTCAGAAAATAAGGAACTCGTCATATCCCGTCTACAGATTCTCCACAGCCACAAGTACTTAGTGCAAAACCAACCTCTTCTTACCCCGAATGGTGTGGTACTTCCTGAAAACCTTCAGTTTTCCTGGTGTACTAGTTTAATAAAGTCCTGTGCTCGACGTTGTGCCCTGTGCTGATCCCCCGGCAGCTGGCTGCAGGAGGGGAGGGTGTTGCTAAGTCCTGGTGACTTGTGGCAGTTGTTAGCTCAGAGCTTGCACCATGGTCATCAGTCACTAAGAAAACCTGTGGTGTGACTTTAACATTCATCACCAGTTTACTCAAACACTGCTTAATACTCTAAATGATCCACGTTTCCAAGGCTTTACGTTGTGGATAGTAGAATATTTCAGCTGCTGGCGATGCACTGTGCTTGCATGAAGCTTTTTCCATTCATAGATTTCTAAAACTGTCATAACATCATGACTCTAGATAGTCCTCTTGGGAGCTTTTGTCAAGAAAACTGCAGCTTTCCCCCTCCACAATCTAGAAATCTAGTGAAAATTTAAAAAAAAAACCAGCAGTTCTCTACTGGTGGAAGTTCCCTGGGTTTCCTGCTTCGTTCTCAAGGGAATACAGTTCTGGTACAAAGTTCATCAAGCAGTATTTTAAGCTGCTCATCAGTATCTGATGTTGGACCTGCTTGTAATTCCTGGGGAGAGTATGAGCTCTGTGGCTGTCTGCTGATGTAACTGCCCATGGTAGTCTCTGTCCGGGGATAGAAGAGCCGGGTTTCGGTCAGGGCTGTGGGTGGAACAGTCTTCAGTTCATGAGCAGAAATGCCCCTGTGAGTGTGCAGTATGTGGAAGGATGACTTTTTCTTTTTCTATGGGGCAGTATCTCTATGGAGGGTAGAGGGGGTTTGTGATGCTGTTGGAGAACCATTGGCAGAGCACTTTTTGAGGCCCATCACTGGATATTTTGGTTTCTTACATAAAAAGACGCAGGCAGGGTGGCTTGAAAATGTTCAGCTTTCAATTTTTAGTTTGTATGGAGACGAAGAACCTCTTTAGGTCCGTGTGTATGATTGATTCCTCCAAGTCTGTGGGATTGATAAACATTGTCTCCACCAAGTCTTCATTTGGGTTTTCTCGAGGACAGTTTTCAGGTAGCTGTCCTTGTCCTAGATGAGATTTAACGGAAGCAATCTGGGAAACTTGCCTAAGCCAGCAGAAGGAAGCCAGCCTTCGGACCCAGCTCTCTAAGGTGTGCCCGTAGTCTCTGGATTGCTTTCACAAGTTCTGTTTTCCCAGTCCTTTTCTCTGACAACTTCATTCTTTGATTTCTAACACAGGCTGACTTTTATTTGCAGGAAAAGGTAAGAGGGGAGTTCTTTAGGAGTCGAGAGGGCTTTGGCGAGGAATTGTCAGGCTGTAAAATGGAAAACTGTTGCTTACAACTGTCCCTCTGATGAAAGCAAGCTTACGGGAAACTTTTACTTCATTGTTTCTACACGTGTCCGTTGTGTCCCTGTAAAAAGGAGTTTTGTTTGACCAGTTCCTCAGTGACACACTCTTCAGTTTTATTACATTTTCTGGGGATTCCTGTGTCTATGAAGACACTGACTTTAGCTTTATAATGATTTTCCTGGGCTGTGCCCTGAGGCTGCTGCATAGAAAATGTTAAGATAGTTTGTCTAGAATACCACCACGCTGCTGGTTTGTCTGGAAAACGTTGTGGCTTTATGCAGACTGCTGTTCATAGAACGGTTTGGGTTGGAAGGGACCTTAAAGACCATCTAGTTCCAACCCCCCTGCCATGGGCAGGGACACCTTCCACTAGACCAGGTTGCTCCAAGCCTCATCCAGCCTGGCCTGTTACTGGCATAGGCCCAGCTCTGAGCAGGAGGCTGGACTAGAGGCCTCCAGAAGTTCAACCTAAATGAATGTAGCTTCTGTAATAAAGAGAAATCTTGACCCTCAGTCCCCCAAAAAATATACATGGTGTGAGTGGTTGAGTTATAGCAGGAATTCGTGGCGAGTTAGCCAAGCTCATGCCCGCTGTCTGACTCTGCCGTGTTGAGCAAGTTCACAGCTGCAGCTGGAAAAAAAGAGCTGTGCTATTCGGGGGGAATTTACTCCATAGATCCCATTGAAAGGTCCTGTAATCAGTTTACTCCAGAAATGAGGGGAGAGGTTAAGGGTTGATTTCGCTGAAGAAGGGCCATGCAAAGAGACAGCTGGTGTGTGCTTCTGAACACGCACCCCCATGCTCTGAAAGGCTGCTTCTTGTATGTGTTCCCTAACCTCTCCTGGCAACGGTGGTTTTCCTTAGGGGCTGGTTGGTTGGTCCAGTTATCTTCTCCCCTTTTTACCCCCCTTGACACTCTTTGCTACCTGTCCCCTGAGATTCGCATATGTGCCTGGGGTTTATTTCCATTCTGGCTCAGAGGGGGATAAAAGCCATCGTGCTTGTGTACCTGGAGCTGCTCACCTTTAAAAAGTGCAAATGTACAGGCTGCCCGTGGCTTGTGTTCAGTCAGAGGTGATGACGTACTGTAATTAAAATATCCATTGGGTAATTCTGCATCAGTTTTGAGTTGAGCTCTTGGCCTTTTTAACTTTGAAAGAAGATCTCAATTTTCAAAAGTGAGGACTACCACCAGAAAGAGTCTTCATTCGCACCGTTTGAGTTGGTTCAGCTGTTGAGGAAATACGTTGGAGAGGGTGCATTGCTGTTATTGTCCAGTTCGTGAATGTTATCATGGACAGCAAACACAAACTGGTATGTCAGGTTGTCTTCTGCGGGAGAAAAAAAGGACTGTGGAGGAACAGTGCATGAATTTGCATCGAAGTGAATGGGAATGAAAAGTTTGTCCTTATTATCTGTCTTTTTGGGAAGGCGGTGTACATAGTCAATTTGATGCTTGTTGTTTTCAGTGGATGTTTTCCTGTTGGAAAAGGAATTTTGTTAGCTGCTCCGTGAAAGAGCTTCATTGTTTGTTAGTAAGAGCTAAACTTTTTACAGGTGTATTACTTGACTCCCAGGTGAAAGAGTCCTTATTTTCTTTTTATTCTAACTTTTTCCTTTTTTCTTTTTAAAGAAACGATTGAAAGCAGCAGAAGCAGAAAGCAAGCTAAAACAAGTGTATATACCCAACTAGTAAGTACCTTTTTGTACCGTTTTGCATGTTACTTCATTGTAGAGGGTCTGCTGTAGCCGTTTCCGTGGCCTGCCAGCATTATGTATTTGCTGTAATCACACTCAGAAATGTAGTTGAACAAACACGTAGTAGAACTATTAAATTAGGTTACCAGTGTAACAAATCTTCTGCTGACGCGTGAATGGGCATGAATTCCATTGTATTTTAGTTAAGGCTAACCGCCTTGATGCTGCTAAACTATGAGGAGCCCTGTGGAAGAAAGCACGGTAGATTCAGGAGCTCAAAGCTGGCTAGAACAGAGCAGCTCTCCGCCCTGTATGCGTATGCCGCTGCTCGTCGGTGTGTAAGAGACAAAGTTGTTCCCGCACGCTGACCACCTACTTTTGGAAGACAGGGTATTTCCTCCATGGATTTTCCCTTTGAGGCTTTCCTGGTTAGGATGCTGTCATGTTGCTCATTTCCTTCATCCTGTATAATGTTCCCATCCTTATCTTTGGTTTATTTTTGGTATGGGCTTGGTATGAAGTCAGCACAGTTAGGAACAAGAGAGTAGCTAATTAACTGCTCGATAATATGGTTTTATTAATTTTTGTCATCAGTGGATCACCGATGTGTGGTTGTTTCCTTAGAACAGATACAAACGGATATGCAGATCTGTATTAAAATGAACGTATAATATGTTTTAAGAACAGAAATAAATATATGTGTAGAAATTCATAGTAAAATGTGTTTCTTCTCTCACTTTTCCTCTGCGTAACCCAGTCAACAGTTGTTCTAGTGTGGAACTTCAAATCTCCTCTGTTTTTTCTCTTTTCAACTTGAGCTCCCAGACACGTTCCTGTGTGTGTTATGCAAAATAACTCCTTTACTCTTTTATGCTATTTCCTTTCAACTATTTACGAACTTCTACCATGTGTGGTGTTAAGGCAAAACTAAGTTTTCCGTGTTTACCTTGCAAGACAGTCCCTTATTTCTTGTGAATATAGAGGATCCTGAATTTCTTTTTTGCTTTGGAATATGTTGGTATCTCTCAGGTGAATTTACTAAAAATGAGGTGTAATATTCAGAGTGAAACCAAATAGATTTCTTGTCATGCAAGTTTTCAACCGTATTGCTTTTTGTGGGTGGTGTTACTCTGCAGGGGACACTGGACATCAAATGAAACATGAATTCACAGTGTGATAAGCTTGCAAAGCAAAAGCCAGTGTAATTTAGACTGCGGGTGCACAAAGATACTGCAGACGGGAGAGTCTGTTGCCCGTGGATTATAATCATAGAATCATAGAAT